AAACCGTCCCCCCCCCCCCCCCCCCCCCCCCCCCCCCCCCCCCCCCCCCCCCCCCCCCCGCCCCCCCCCCACCCCCCCCCCCCCCCCCCCCCCCCCCCCCCCCCCCCCCCCCCCCCCCCCCCCCCCCCCCCCCCCCCCCCCCCCCCCCCCCCCCCCCCCCCCCCCCCCCCCCCCCCCCCCCCCCCCCCCCCCCCCCCCCCCCCCCCCCCCCCCCCCCCCCCCCCCCCCCCCCCCCCCCCCCCCCCCCCCCCCCCCCACCCCCCCCCCCCCCCCCACCCCCCCCCCCCCGGCCCCCCCCCCCCCCCACCCCCCCCCCCCCCCCCCCCCCCCCCCCCCCCCCCCCCCCCCCCCCCCCCCCCCCCCCCCCCCCCCCCCCCCCCCCCCTCCCCCCCCCCCCCCCCCCCCCCCCCCCCCCCCCCCCCCCCCCCCCCCCCCCCCCCCCCCCCCCCCCCCCCCCCCCCCCCCCCCCCCCCCCCCCCCCCCCCCCCCCCCCCCCCCCCCCCCCCCCCCCCCCCCCCCCCCCCCCCCCCCCCCCCCCCCCCCCCCCCCCCCCCCCCCCCCCCCCCCCCCCCCCCCCCCCCCCCCCCCCCCCCCCCCCCCCCCCCCCCCCCCCCCCCCCCCCCCCCCCCCCCCCCCCCCCCCCCCCCCCCCCCCCCCCCCCCCCCCCCCCCCCCCCCCCCCCCCCCCCCCCCCCCCCCCCCCCCCCCCCCCCCCCCCCTCCCCCCCCCCCCCGCCCCCCCCCCCCCCCCCCTCCCCCCCCCCCCCCCCCCCCCCCCCCCCCCCCCCCCCCCCCCCCCCCCCCCCCCCCCCCCCCCCCCCACCCCCCCACCCCCCACCACCCGCCCCCCCCCCCCCCCCCCCCCCCCCCCCCCCCCCCCCCCCCCCCCCCCCCCCCCCCCCCCCCCCCCCCCCCCCCCCCCCCCCCCCCCCCCCCCCCCCCCCCCCCCCACCCCCCCCCCCCCCCCCCCCCCCCCCCCCCCCCCCCCCCCCCCCCCCCCCCCCCCCCTGCGAGGAGAGGACACAAGTGAGCTAAGCACACACGCACACACACTCCCCATAGGGCAAAGTGTCACCCTCTAGAAATGCCAAGTTGACATCTTGCCCTAAGCCTCAGTTTCCTTATATGCCCAAGAGCGGTGAGATTTTTTTGTTTGTTTTGGTGGGATGGGTTTGAACTCAGGGCTTTGCAGGCGCTCTACTGCTTGAGCCACACCTCCAGTCCACTTTGTTCTTGTTCTTTTGGGGCATGAGGTCTACAGAACTATTTGCCACAGCTGGCCTCAAATCTTGATCCTCCTGATCTCAGCCTCCCAAGTAGCTAGGATTACAGGAGCCTCCCAGGGTGGTTTTAAAGCACCTTCCAGGGGGCTTAAACAAGTGAGAGTGCATGGGAAACCCACTGAGCAATGGGACCCTGAGGGGCTGAGGGGCTCAAAAAGGCATCTTAGGACAGAGTCTTAGAAAGCAAAGCTACAACCAGGCATGGTGGGGCATGCCTGTAATCTCAACTACTCAGGAGGCTGAAGACAGGAGAATCAGGAGTTCCAGACTAGTCAGGGCAAGAGACCCTGTCAGAAAAACAAACTACAAACAAAAAGGTTGGGGGTATGCCTCAAGTTGGCATTGAAGAGGCCCCAGGTTCAATCCCCACCAAAGAAAGGGGAGGGGGAACTGCTTGGGATATTGGAGGGGGGCTCAGAGAAGCATCACAGGAACCAAAACCCCCCAGTCCCACCCACTCCTGCCCCCTCACCTTTCTGGGTATCAAAAATGCCGGGCTGGCCCAGCTGGCTGAGGAGAGGGCTCCCGCTGCTGGGGGGCTCCAGGTGGTTCAGGTGGAGGTAGGACGGGTACAGCCCGCTGGGCAGGTGGGAGAAGCCTGGGGGTCAGGGAGGAGAAAAAGCAGAGCTGCACCACTTTTTTGCCTCCTACAGGATTTTCTTTTCTTTGGTAACAAACCACTGTGGCTGTCCCTAAAAGGTACCTGCCAGCAGTGCCTAGAATGGGGGACGGCTGGGCACAGGCGGGAAGAGGACAGCTAAGAGCACACAGGTAATGAACCCTGCTGGTCACCCCTGCAGGGACAAGTCCTCTGTGTTCCGCCTGGGCCTGGGGCCCTACTGCAGCCCCCTGAGGAACCCAGGTCTCCCTCCCCGTCCTAGCTCATTCTGAAACCAAGGACACAAGACCTGTTCCTGGCCCAGCGTCCGTGTCTCCCTACACAATCACCTGACAGTGACATTAACAATCAAAAATCCCAAAACACCACCTGGCAATAATAGCTTATTTAATCACCAAACCGACACTCGGTCGCTTCAGGTCCCTTTGCACTCATCTGGAAAATAGGCACCTTGGTCCCACGCCCCAGGGCTGGTTCTGAGGATAAATGAGCTCAAAAATGCAGCCCCCGGGGAATTGTGGGAGTGGCTCAAGTGGTAGAGCACCTGCCTAGCAAGCGTGAAGCCCTGAGTTCAAACCCCAGCACTGCCAAAAAAAAAAAAATAAAAGAATGCAGCCCCAAAGGGGACAGTCATGTCAGCATTTGCCATATGTTACTATTCACCAGGGTATGTGGGCAAAAGACAAAAGGCAGCCTCAGGAAGGAACGAGTTGGTGGCACACAGGGACCAGAGGTGGCCTGTGTTCTCCCAGTCTCTGCAGTCCTTGCTCTGGCCAGCCACAGTGAGGGGGACTCAAGCAGGTCTCAGCCCACAAGGGCCACCATTCCTGGGCCTGTGGCTAGCACCCCACAGAGGAAGGACAGCCTCCTCCACATAGGGTGCATCCCCGTCCCCCAGCTTCCAGGATTTTGGTGCCTGCCCCAGGGCCCTGGAAGGACCACGGCATCAGGCCTGGTGGGGGTCCTGTGGCCAGGGACACCTCTGCCCCTATCTGATGCCTCCTCATGGGTGAAATGCAGCTGCACACAGCCCATGGTGACAGATTCAGGTGCTGGCAGGTGCTCAGTCTGTCCAAATCCTTCAGCTTCGGGCTTGGGGAAAACATCAGGCTCAGAAAACACCTGCCCTCAGAGCTCTCGCCACCGCAAAATCAATGGTTTGGGAATAATAAAACAAGTCAATCTTTGGTCCCCACAGAACGGTCAGGAGAGAGGGGCTGACTGAGCTGGCCCCCATTAAGAGGGTCAGGAGACAGCAAGGGGCAGGGTAAGGGACTGCAAGCAGACGAGCAGCACATGCAAAGGTCCTGGGGCAACAAGAAAAAGGCATAATAGGGCAGAGCTGGACCCATGAGCCACACCGAGAGTGGTGATCATTGGAGGTGGAGAAGAGAGGTAAGGGGCAGACACCACAAGTGCTGGGGACAGAAAATGCCCCATGGGGTAGGGTAGGGACAGCAGCCCAGCAGCCCTCAGCCCCGCCCGCACGCAGGCTCCTTACCTTCGTGGGCATGGGCGGTCCACAGCTGCACCATGGGCAGATTGCTGGGCGTGGGGGAGCGGAACGAGAGGTCAGAGGGCAGGGATACAGGGCTCCCCTGGGATGAGGCCGAGGGCCCCATCCCGCTGGCCACAAAACTGCCCAAGAAGGCCTCGCCTGCAGAGAAAAGGGGGCTGTCAGGCAGCCAAACAGGCCACCACACCCAGGCCCACCATGCCAAGACCCCCGTCTCACCCCCTCCAACTGCATGGAGGCCCCAGGAAAATCCCTGACCCCCCAGCCCCTCAGCTACAGGACGGGTCTCATCCACTCAACCCCTCCCAGGGCTGGGGAAAACTCAGGGACAAAAACAGGCACAAGAAAGCCCACCCGGCAAGCCTCATCCCCAGAGTTCCCCCACAGGACCCCAAAGACTGCACCATCCCTGCTGTCAACCAGCCAGGCCCATGGGGCAGCCTCCTCCCTATTCACAGAGGGAAACCGAGTCCTAAAGTCAGGGGTCCTGGAGGGGTGGGGCAGGACCTCCCAGGGCCACAGAGCAAGGAGGTGGGGGTCAGACAGAGGTGGGGGACTCTGGGCCCCACAGAGCGCCCAGGCCTGGGGCGATACTGTCAAAAGAGACAGGCTGTTCCCAGGACCCCGAGCAGCCCTGGATGTGCACAAGCCCTGGAAGTGATGGTCAGCCCCGTGTGCCCACTTTTCAGATGGGGAAACTGAGGCCCGGAGATTGGAAGAGCTGGATCGCACAACCAAGGAACAGTAAGTTCTTGTTACTCACAAAACTGGACAGCCCAGAGCCCACCCTGAGCCACCAATGTTAGGGGTCAAATCAGGAGCAAATAATGGGGGTACTCTGCCCAGAACTGGCTCTCCACAAACACGAGCCCTGCTTACGGGAGCCTTGGTGACCAGCTGCTTGGAAGGACACTGAGAAGGACACTGAGCCCACTTCTTTCCACCGTCATTTGGCGAGGTTCACACACCCAACAGGACACCCCCTCACTGCCGCCTAGGACCACCCCCAACCTCTAAATATCCACCTGCCGAGGAAGACCCTGGCAGGCCTCAGGAGTCAGAGGCCAGGGCGTGAGTTCTGGGCCAAAGGGCCTTCCTTAGTGAGGTGACGGTGCTCATACACAGACTGGGTAAAAAGAGGCCTCCCCTTGTCTGGTGTGGTGGCACCGCCTGTAATCCCAGCACTCAGGGAGGCTGAGGCAGGTAGAAGCTGGCCTGGGCTACAAGAGGGACCCTGCCTCAAAAAAAAGGAAAAAAACAACAAAACCCGCATTTGAAAGCCACAGGTAAAAGAGGGGGACACGCTTAACAGAGGAATGAAAACGCCGGTTTTTACAGCGGCAGTAATGGTGAACAGAGTGCCTTTGTGGTGTCCCAATTCTGCCCTCCAGGGGAGGCTGCCGGGTCCCGAACAAGGCCGGGGAGGGGGAGACCTCGCCCAGCGCCTGGAGACCCCGTCTAGTCTCTCGAGGGGACGCTCGCAGGTGGCACTGAGAGGTTCAGCGACTTTGCAGAGGACACACAGACGGTGCAGGTGTCCTGGTCCGGCCCACAGGGAGCTCACGGACCCCAGCCCAGCCACACACGCAGGGACGCGGACCCCACAACGTCCACCCAGGTCTTTTAGGGTCCTCCTGGGGGAGATGGCTTTACCTTGGTCCCCAGAACAGTCAGCAGAAGCCAGGGCAGTGAGGGACAGCCCCGGGCCACCTGCCCATCACCACGGCCCCTGTCCAGCCCTCCCCACACACAGCCCTCACCAGACTCCAGCGCCAAGCCCTCGGGCCCCAGGGCCATGGTGGCCAATCGGTTCAAACATGGGGCCCGGGCCGGGGACAGCAGGGCCCGGGAGCCCTGCCCAGTCCTGGCTTCCTCCTCGGGTGGCAGCAGGCGTGGAAGCTCCGGAAGCCACAGCCCCGGCTTTGCGCAACAGCTTACATCACTCAGGCACCAGCTCTTCCTGCCCGGCCGCGGAAGCCCGGCCTGTCCCCGCCCGGGCCCCAGATGTCACCAACGGCTGCCGCCAGCCACAGGGCCTCACGCTGCCCAAACTCTCTCCTGCCCCCGCCAGGAGGGGACAGCCAGAGGGACCGGGCACTCCATGAGTGGCACTCGGGGGTGGGGTGACACATCTGCAGCGGGACAAGACGGGACAGTGGGAGTGTGCGGGAATCTGTGGTCCCCACGGCCTCCTCACCTGTCACTGTACACCAGCTAACCCCCACCTCTGCCATGGCCTCGATTCCTGTCCCCCTCGGCCCTCAGGCACCGGCACCCCCGTGGGCCACAGAGAAGAGCCACCCACCCCAAGTGACTCCCTTGCCTGTGACAACTTGACACACAGACCTGTCACCTGGCTGTGAATTTAATGCCTGGCTCTCCCCCGGCCCTGCAGAGGGCTCCCTTCCTGATGGGGGTGCGGAGGGAGACTCGTGGTCCAGGCCATGTTCCCTGCCCAGGGCCTGGCCCCCGAGGGACATTCCACAGAGGACTCTGACCACCTGAGGGTTATTTCCAGCGTGCAGGGGACCAGACGCACAGAAGATCAAAGGCACCCCTGACCGCTCGAGGGACTCACAAACCCTGAGGGGGCCACACGCACCCCGGCCTGGCTTGGGGTCGAGGTGAAGGTCAGCATCGCCAGTGACCGGAGCCCCTCTTGGCCTCACCGATACCAAGGTGCATGTCCCTGGGGACGGAGCAGCGGCCACCGTGGCTCCATTACAGCTCTGGGGACAGTGACTGCCAGGACGCCTGGAGAATCCCTGAGGCAGGGTCTCCCTGCTCCTCCTGGTGAGCACAGCTGACAACTCGAGGTCACACAGGCATGCAGAGGACACAGAACGGGGACAGGAACCCAGGCCGGCGCCAGAGCCTAACAACTCACCTCCAACTGCCTCCTACAGAACTGTCACATCAGGGCCACCAACGAACACATGGGGCCATCATCCCTGACAAACTTGGCACCAACGTGTGTGTCCATCAGGTGGGGACTAAGTAAATAAATCACATACAAGCCAGGCACTGGTGGTTCTATCTATAATCCAGGCTTCTTGGGAGGCCGAGATCAGGAGGATCACGGTTCAAGGCCAGTCCAGGCAAATAGTTCTCGAGACCCCATCTCCAAACTAACCAGAGCAAAATGCAGTGGAGGTGTGGCTCAAGCCGTAGAGCACCTGCTTTGCAAGCGGGAAGCCCTGAGTTCAAACCCCTGTCCCACCAAAAATAGTTAATTAAAAATGACATACAAGCCAGGCACTGGTAGCTCACACCTTTAATTCCAGGATGCATGGGGGGAAACTGCTAGAAAGGTCAGCAGGAGAGGGCAAAGTCCAGGCTTCCAGACCCACTGGCTCTGTGATTTGGGGCAATTTTCATAATTTCCCCAGGGTGTGAACATGGATAATCCAGAAACATCTCCCCCTCAGGGCTGATGTAAGGATTAAATGACTTATTTGTAAAGTGCTTAGGCCGTCTGGCAAGAGATACCAAGTAACTGCCAGCTGTTATTATTCATGTCTATAAAACCTGCAGCTAGCTGGTGCCGGTGCTCACGCCTGTAATCCCAGCTACTCAGGAAGCAGAAGTCAGAAGGATCTGGGTTTGAATCCAGCCCCCAGGCAAATAGTTCTTGAAACCCTATCATGAAAAAAAAAAACCCCAACACACACAAGAACTGGTGGAGTGGCTCAAGTGGTAGAGTGTCTGCCTAGCAAGCGTGAGGCTGTGAGTTCAAACCCCAGTCCCATCCCTCCCCCCAAGAAAATTTAACTTAGAAACTAGAGGACTGGCCCTCGTACATTAGTCCCTGAGTAGTACAAACTCTGCTCTTTTCAAATGGTTTGCTCTGAGTTAAGCCAATCTCACCTCCAGTAAAAAAACAAATGCAAGCCTTACTCTGCCTCCAATCCTGCAGTCACTGCCCCAGGGCCCCCTCCCGAAGCCCAGGGAGCCAGGAAATCTTGTTACACATTTTACAGATTAACAAACAGAGCTGGGCATGGTGGTGCTACTTGGGAAGTGGAAATAAAGTTAGTGGTTCAAGGCTCGCCCAGGCAAGTTTGTGAGACCCTATCTCAAAGAACAAGGCCAGGCACGGTGGCACGTGTGTGCAATCCTAGCTACTTGGGAAGCAGAAATCAGAGGAATCACGGTTTGAGGTCATCGTGGGCAAACAGTGAGACCCCATCTTGACTAATAAAAGCTGGGTGTGTTGGTTCAGATTTATAATCCCACTCAAGGTCTGGGGGTAAATGCAAGACTCCATTTGTAAAATCATCAAAACCAAAAGGGCTGTGTTTCCCTAGAAAAGAAGGGGACATCCAACTAGGAGAGTCCCCAAGTCCACAACCCACTTCACAGCCTTCAAATGCTCCAAAGGATCCCGCGTTATCTCGAAACCCAAACAGGTCAAGTCCAACAGACAGGGAAACTGAGGCTCAGAAAAGCTCCCACGTGGCCGTCACAGTTTGGGATGCAGGAGTTACACAGGTCTTTGGCGGCTTGGGGCGCAGCTCCATGGTTGAGCACCCGCCTAGCGTGCAGAAGGCCCAGGGCTCCATCCCCAGCACCCCAAAAATATAAACAAGAAACACGGGTGTGGCTCGCCTAGCACGTGAGGGACCCTGGGCTCCGCTCGTCTCCAGCGTGCAGTCAGTCAATTAACAAATAAGAAAAAGGGAAGGGAAAGGAAAGGAAGGGGAGTGGGGGGGAGGAGGAAGGAGGGAAGAAGAGAGACAGAGAGAGAGAGAGAGAGAGAGGGAGAGGGAGAGAGAGGACATCCTCACATGCTTCCACTTCCTGTGCAAACACGTAACAACGTTCATAAAACAGTAACGAACTTTCTTAAGTCCTCTCGCTGCGCGCCGGACTGCGTGCCAGGCGCTGCGTGCCAGGCGCCGACGCCACCGTCCGGCTCCTGGGAGCCTGGCTGTCCTGCAGGAGGACTCACTCAGACCTCGCCCTCCCTTCACAGCCAGGTCACCAGAGGGTGGGCCTGGCCGCCTGCCTCCTCCACTCCTGGGGCACCGCCTCCTCCAGGAAGTCCACGAAGATTAAATGGGAAATTCTAGGCGTGAACTTCAAATTCCAAGCGATCTGAGCAGCTGAGGAAATGAGGCTACACCCTGCCTTTTGCACCG